GGGATTTAATTTCTGACTTATACCAAGTGTGAACCAACCGGAATTTTTTAACACGGTGGCTTATGGAGAAATCAAGGACTGCTTGTATTTTTTCGACTTTTTTAAATTCCATCGGTATTAATTGGTACAAATTTTGCTTTAAATAGATATCCAAAGCCATAATGAATCCATTAATGTAAGTTACTCCTGGATAATATTCATATATGGACTCAATTTCAGACTTATTACCGGCCTACTTGGCTAGAGTCCCTTTATACCCAGAGTTACGACAACTCGATTATCAGCTGACTGACAGCCGGCCTTGGCTGGCCATGGAGGCCGAAACGAGTGCACCCAAACGAACGATATTGAGGGATAAGGATCAGGAATCCTGCGATGTCTGTCGCACAAAAACAACAACATCAACAAACCGATCAATTAAAAATAAAATGAGATTGGTTTGTGAATAATTTCTTAATCTATTTTCATTTTGAACCGATGGAAATAACAATTTACTCTTGATAAACCACAATTAGGTAATATTTTCATTATTCTTGTTCACATACGAGGTACCGCCATCTTGGGGCACTCGTTTCGGCCTCCATGAGCGAGAACCAATCAGAATTGGATTTTTTTTTAGGCCACTTTCAGCCCAACCCTGGCCCAATCAAAAGTGAGTTGTCGTAACTCTGGGTATAAAGGGACTCTATTCTCCGGAGACTAGTGTGCGGCGACTAGCGACGACGCATACGCAGAGACTCGCGCTCAGCGCTCCCCACCTCCCCACTCCCGACTCGGCTCCGTTCGTCGGCTAGGTCCACACACATCGAACCAGCCAAGTATAGAGTCCCTTTATACCCAGAGTTACGACAACTCACTTTTGGTTGGGCCAGGGTTGGGCTGAAAGTGGCCTAAAAAAAAATCCAATTCTGATTGGTTCTCGCTCATGGAGGCCGAAACGAGTGCACCAAGATGGCGGTACCTCGTATGTGAACAAGAATAATGAAAATATTACCTAATTGTGGTTTATCAAGAGTAAATTGTTATTTCCATCGGTTCAAAATGAAAATAGATTAAGAAATTATTCACAAACCAATCTCATTTATTTTTAATTGATCGGTTTGTTGATGTTGTTGTTTTTGTGCGACAGACATCGCAGGATTATTGATCCTTATCCCTCAATATCGTTCGTTTGGGTGCACTCGTTTCGGCCTCCATGGCCAGCCAAGGCCGGCTGTCAGTCAGCTGATAATCGAGTTGTCGTAACTCTGGGTATGAAGGGACTCTACCGGAGAACTGGACAAAACAGCCTCGAAAAGTGACTTCAACGGCGATCCAGTACTTTGCGACTCTATTGTACTCTATGATGGAGGGCTTAGGGCCCAAAAGTGCAGCCACCCTTCTAACCAACCTCTAACGCACAAAATTTCACTGCCAGTCTGCAGGTTCCAATTCTAACCAAGATGGCCAAGAATGTACATAAATGAGCGTTCTTCCGCAAAATTGAGTAAATTTATGCAAAAACTGAGTCAAACACGTGCTTAATAAACGACGGTTCGTAACAATAGTATTAGTAAATCGTTCTGAATAATTGAAATTCAATGGTTGGCTGCATTTCTGGGCCCTAACTTTATTCGCAGAAGCATCGGTGAAGGCCTGATGGATTTTCGGAGTTTCACGTCTGTCCATACTCTCGCTATACAGGTACTCTAGTGACTTGCTCTAGTGACGTCCAGAGGGTACGAAATGCGACCACCATTCTTTATCCGCCTTGACCAGAGACAAGAGACCCTCCACTAGTATCTTGGTCATTGCCCGGCCATTGTGGAAACTTTTACTTTCGGGACTTCAGCATTCTACTGTTTAGAGTCTACTGTTGACTTACCGAGAGTACCTATATTGAGAGAGTATGGCCACTGGAATTACCACCTCTGATTGGCTCAGCCATCTTAGGCTGAATGGAGCCCTTAGGACCCAAAAATGGCGGACGCCATAAAGTTAATGTAATGCAAAATGATTCAAAATGTCTTTGCTTATCGTAACGAGAACTTTACCCAAATGCACTATTGCGACTTTTTTACATATTTTTAAGGCTTATCGTGTGCAATTTTCGAGAAAAATTATCTTAGATGTAGTAAGGTTGGCAGCAAGCGCGGTTGGTGATAACCGTCAAAAGTTGGCAATGACCCCCCTCCCATCCTCAAAAACCAAAACAAAGCACCGCCATTTTTGGGTCCTAAGCCCAGCCTAAGCCTCTCCATGGGACTTGTCTCTGGCCTTGACTCTTGACTCTAGGGATGTCGATTTTTTTGAAAAAATCGATTACGCGAATCGATTCGATTTTTTTCGAAAGATCGATTAATCGATTTAAAATCGTACCTCAAAAATCGATTTTTAAAATCGAATCGAAAAAATCGTTTTTTCCCGCGCACGAGCTAATTTCAGGCTTAGAAATTTTTAAAGTGAAAGAAAGTTCTACTAGTGGCGTTGATTAAATCGGTAGGTAGGATAATATAAGTAGGTAGTGTAAGTGAAAGTTCAACTAGTTCAAGGAATGTTTGACGTTTGACCGTTTTGACGGTTAAGAAGTTTTGTTTACAGTATTCATTCAAATTTCAAAGAGGTTATGGTCGTTATGGTTATGGTGCTTGAAGATCTGTTCAGCAATTGCAATTAAACCTAAAAGAATGTATTAGAAAGTTTACCAAACGCTAAATACCTTTCTTCTGGACCCGCGTTTGAACGTAAGTAGGTTTGACGTGACGTTAAAAGAGTAATTTAAACTTTAAACAGAGCGAAAAAGTCTGAACGATTTTTTCGATTTTTTTAAATAGAAAATCGATTGAATCGATAAATCGCCTCTCACAAAATCGATTCAAAAAAATCGAATCGAAAAAATCGACATCCCTAGACTCTGTGTAGTGTGTATTCTCTCTGATCCCATAGAGAAAAAAAAGGAGGTGTTTGCATCTTGAGGATTTGTACCCACCTACGTCATTAATGTAAACAAGACGCTCGTTGAGGGTTATGTTGACGCTGTAAAAACGGACCATAATGTCCGATTTTTTTACTTAAATCAACTCTTTATTTAATTTCAAGCATTCCAAAAAAATCGACAGGATAAAAACGTCGCTGTACCCAATGACGTCATCAAAACTATAGATACTCTATGAAAAATTCCAAGATGCCCGAAATGCAAACACCTCCTTTTTTTTCTCTATGCTCTGATCCCATCGATGACCAGAGAAAACTAGAGTACCTGTATAGGGAGAGTAGCGACAGATCTGAAACTGCGAAAGTCCATCAGGCCTTCACCGATGCCTCCGCGAATAAAGTTAGGGCCCAAAAGGGCAGCCAACCTATGAATTTCGAATGTCCAGAGCGATTTACAAATACAATTGTTACGGACCGTCGTTTAGAAAGCATGTAGTTGGCTTACTTTTTGCATAAATTTACTTATTTTTGCGAAAGAACGCTCATTTATGTACATTCTTAGCCATCTTGGTTAGAATTGAAATCTGTAGGCTGGCAGTGAAATTTTGTGTGTTAGAAGTTGCTCAGAAGGGTGGCTGCACTTTTGGGCCCTAAGCCCTCCATGAACCGATCTGTCGCTACTCTCCCTATACAGGTACTCTAGAGAAAACTGAACGTGTCAATGACGAAATAATTATTGTTATGAGTGGTGTGATATTTGTGGGTTTCAGGCCGTAAATGAGAAATACGCCGTGCACAGCGCTGATGAGGATGTCGAAACTGGAAACATTACGTCTGTGAATGCTGATGCCAGAGCAGCAGGTGTGACGGGTAGAAGCACTGTTCACAGTCCGCGAGTAGTTCTCTACCGAATCCTGAGGACTGTCCTCATGGCCCTCAGCTTATCAGCTCTCCTTGTTATTTCACTGTCTCTTGTGTGGTACTTTTTGGGCTTCATGTTCCTTGTACAAATTGTGATAGTCGCCGTCGTTGTTTACCTCACAGCTGGTGGGGGATACAAATGGCTCTACCTCTTATTACGAACGGGTCCCCGTGATCTGACGTGAGTAATTGAACCATTATTTCCTCTCTTAATATAGAATGGTAGCTTTCTATTTACTCTTGCCTCTTTTTTGTAATTAGCCTCAAGCGCCGTACTTAATCTGAGAGTTGATAAGCCTCGGTACTGTTGTCCTCACATGACGATTCCACAGGACGTCAATTCGTTCCTCCTCGGCTACACTCTAGTATTAAAATATCTTGTTTACATGGATATTAGATCATCTCCAGGTAATAGAATTGCCATGGACACAGCCCCTCCTCGGAAAGTTGTAATGGTATGTAACTACTGGACACCAGTGCTTACTTACTAGTGCTCCGACAGATCGTTCTTTTTTGAGACTCGGTCATGATGATTCGACTCACTAACATGATCCGATCATTTTACTTGTTCACGGATCACTGTACAGATCATCTCGTTCATTTTGCTGGCACCTCCCATCAGACGAATCATGCCTCAATCTAAGCTGGAGGGAAAAGGAAGGGGATTTTTTTGCCTTATCATTAGAGTTAGAATATGCATTATGCCAGGAATTATGAGATAAATTATTTTTTAAAATCATTAATTAATTTTTAAAAAAAATAAAAGGGTGTAGTTCCGTACTCGGGCTTATTTTCATACCCGCAAACGGTACCCCCTACACAGTTCCGTACTCGGGCTTCTTTATTTAAACGAAGTTGGATTTACATAGAGTACCTTTATAGACAGAGTATGCTCTATAGACAGAGTGTGGCCATTTTTGTGCCGGTTTTTCATTTGTCGCGTGAAAATATGTTGACACGATGTAGTTTTTCTGTAGTAAAAAGATACGAATGACCACACTTCGTCTATAAAGGTAGATTGACATAAGGTTAGGGTAGGTAACGTTAGGTTAGGTTAGGTTAGGTAGGGTTAGGGTAGAGTAGGTAGGGTTAGGGTAGGTAAGGTTAGGTTAGGTTAGGTAAGGTTAGGTTAGGTAGGGTAGGTAAGGTTAGGTTGGGTTAGAGTAGGTAGGGTTAGGGTAGGTAAGGTTAGGTTAGGTTAGGTAAGGTTAGGTTAGGTTAGAGTAGGTAGGGTTAGGGTAGGTAAGGTTAGGTTAGGTAGGGTTAGGGTAGGTAAGGTTAGGTTAGGTTAGGTAAGGTTAGGGTAGGTAAGTAAAAAGACACGAATGACCACACTTCGTCTATAAAGGTAGATTGACATAAGGTTAGGGTAGTTAACGTTAGGTTAGGTTAGGTAAGGTTAGGTTAGGTAGGGTTAGGGTAGGTAAGGTTAGGTAGGGTAGGTAAGGTTAGGTTGGGTTAGAGTAGGTAGGGTTAGGGTAGGTAAGGTTAGGTAAGGTTAGGTTAGGTAGGGTTAGGGTAGATAAGGTTAGGGTAGATAAGGTTAGGTTAGGTAAGGTTAGGGTAGGTTAGGTAAGGTTAGGTTAGGTTAGATTAGGTTAGGTATACTCAAGACCAATCCACACAGGTCAGTCATTGCGCAGCTTTTTTGAAATCCACTCCCCCCTTCCGCCGTAACTCGTAGCACTCAATGCTACACGAGAATCATCTACGAAAAGCCCGGTTGATAAAATCCATCTGTTCCACCACTCATCAAGTACCATCTTTTCCCTCCATTTGTTTACGTCATGAGTGTGTATCGGTCCATCTTGTGTTTTTCTATATGTGTCTTGAAAGAGAGAAGCCCGAGTACGGAACTGTATGGGGGTACCGTTTGCGGGTATGAAAATAAGCCCGAGTACGGAACTTTTTCCAAATAAAATAATGTAAATAAACTAATGGAAATAAAATAATAAAAAAACCACCGTAGGTCATAAACCCCACTCTCGTTTCAGATCATTTGGTCAATGTACAGGCCTCATCGGTCAAATGAATGATATAACAACTAAACAGCTCATTCATTTTTGCCAACCTTCCTCAAATAAATACTAGAAGACTGAGCAATGTCAAAATAGTGAAGTAATTCAACTCTGTTTTGAGTTTTATGGTTAAGGGCCAAACAACGGATCAGTTAGATCATGGGCATGAGCCATAATGAGCCGTAGAAGGAAACGGATGAAAATATGCCCAATGAATGAATGAGAGTCTTCGGATCAAATGAGCTGTGGAGCAAGACGGATCACATGAACGAACAAGGGTTCACAGAACATCTCGGTTATGTGAACGAGCTGAGTTGTTATGAGGTTATGACCGCCTAGAGGTGTCGTCAGCTAAGTTGACGGTTGCTTACTATCGGTTTGCAGGCGTTTTCGCGTCACTACTATCCACTTGAAAACATCAGACTCTCTCAGAAGCAAGAACACAAGCTTAGATAAGTTTTTTAATACTTTCAAACCCTGTAACGCTTTAATTTTTAGTCATACAAATCACAACCACAAAGAGGTCGCAAATCATAACTGATTAGTAATTTTTTTACGATACGATCATGAGACTGATGTTTTCAATGTGGATAGTAGCAAACGCCGCTTTGTTCAAAGGCTCAAATTCGTCGTTGGGGCTTGCAAACCGAAAATAAACAACCTTCAACTTAGCCGACGACACCTCTGGATCAGTAGATCCTGTCAAATCATGCGATCGTTTCCTAAGATCCGGTTGATTTTAGTCGTGATGACTCGCAGTGAGTGCTCCCATTCCTCAGCTAATTTCTTTAATATTTTGTTGTACATTTAAAAAAATAATTGTCTACGCAGGTATTCAGATTGGTCACTAGCGCTTAACAGATCACGAAGAGTCGGATCATTTGGTGTGATCTGATTGCGTGACTCGTTCATTCTCGGGATTCGTTCATATGAACGAATCAGATCATGAACGACAGTTCTCTATTACTTACTTGTCTGCAAGGGGTTAAAAGGCTCTGAAAATAATATTTTCTAGTTATGTGATAACTAATCTCTTGATTGCTGGAAGATCATGTCATTCAAAGGCATTCTGTACTTACTACAGATCCAATTCAATTCAGTTTTATTCTTTTCCAATAAACATAATTTCATTACAGAGTAGACTCCTTCCCCCACAAGAGCACAGCTTGAGTGGTGGGTGTCAGCAGCCGGATTGTTGAAACTTTAACTGGCTATGTCAGCACGATAAGACAAGACATAGAAGTTGGCCGAATGCAATTGCCAGCCATAGCATTGCCATCATTTCCCGCTTCCTGCGAGTCACATGACTAGTCACGTGCCATTTGCTTTAAAACGTTTTCCCGCGTCTTCCTCCGATGGATGCGATTAGCTTGTGTCACACTATACTCACGAAATACTCCATCTAAATGTCAAGGTCAAGTACTGTGATAGGTCCAAGTCATTGCATAAGCCAATCAAAACACCTGGCCTTGATATTTTGATGGCTAGTTTTGATAGTGTGACACAGGTGTTTGAACGAAAATGGATGCAATGTGTCATGCCGCACCAACAAAATACGACTCAGGTTTGTTATGACAGTCATGTACTGTGACTTCACGAGTATACCGGATCCTTTTCCGCGTAAAAGTGACCATTTCGAATTGGTCGGTTCTTAAATTAGCTTTTGTTGACTTTGGGAGGTGATTTCAAGATTTTTTAATGGCACCATCGTTCTCTTCATAAAATTTGCCATTGGAATCAGTTATCAATTTGTAAATTCTCGCACCGTGCAACAGGCCCATTGCAGATAATGTAAAGCGTTTTGGAATTATCTGAACCTCTTTTTTGTCCTCCTCTAATATCTGAAGAAGCACATCACCGCAAGAGTTGTCTGAATCTCTTTCCATTTCATATATGCTCTACAAAGCACTCTCTTAACCCTCTTGATATCTGTTTCAGTGCTCTGCAAAGATATCTGCGTTTCCTCTTTAGTGTCAGACTGTTTTCGAGAGGAGACCTAACTGTAGCTGATATTTTCCGCAGACACGTAATTAAAAATCCTACCAAAGTCATCTTCATTTTTGAAGGGAAGGAATGGACCGCCCAGGAGGTTAGTTTGGCACTTAGTATACGTTAAAATTTGAGTACTTAAAAAAAAAACCGCAGCCCCTTAAACTCATGCTTAACACTGTGGAAAAACTGATTTCTACCAAATTCCAGTACATAATCGCCAGCTGATCTGATTGAGACACCATTGGTATCGGGCAGCAGAGCGGAATGATTTTTTTCTTCCATGATAGTATCTGTCATTTTTACAAACCAAACACAAACACAATGTTACAAACACAAAAAAAATTTTGAAATTGATGGCTTCTCTTTGTAGTACTTCATGCGGTATGAATTTTTGAAGTTTACTGCCTTCTATTCTCTGATATTGAGTCTTAAAATTATGAGAAAAGGGTCATTCTATGCCAACTGGTGCCACTTTGAAAAAGTGACCCCCTCAGAATTTGATGAAAGAGCTGTATGCAAAAACGACATTTTTCGCCCCCCCACTAGAATTTATTCAAACTTCGTCTATCAGTTACTAATACTGGAGCGCTTCTTTCCCCAAATTTTCAGACCCCCAAAAAATTTTGGGGGGGCGCTAGGGGGGGTGGAAGTCAAAACCTGCGACCCTCGATATCTTCCGAACGAAACAAGATATTGAGGCCCGGTTTGGACGAAAAATCGTCTAAAATTGCATACTTTAAGATTCTAGAGGTCAAAATCCCAAAATTAAATTTTTAACTTAACTTATGTGCTTTTTTCAGTTTTTGAGGAAAAACAATTTCTTTTAAACAGATTAAACTGAAATTTCACATTTTTTGATTTGAACCAAAACCAGTTTTTTAAATTGTTCGTCTTTTTCCGCATCCAACGAGTGGTCTTATAAGCTGGGGAACCGAACGGTTCCGGAGATATGATCGATTGAAGTTTCCGCTCAACGCGCGCCGACCGATTTTCGCGCGCAAAAAAGTTGGATTTGACTGTTATTAAAGCAGATTTAATGTTCAAACTGAGCAAAATGTATTATTAGGGACTCTTGAGGGTCGCTGAGTCCAGAAATTACAGATACTTCCAAAAAATTCACGTTTTTAAAATTACAGCTCCATACAGGACCACTGAGCGGCCGGTCGGCGCTCAGTGGGCCTCTAAAATAGCGCTACGACGATTTTTAGACGATTTTTCGTCCAAACCGGGCCTCAATATCTTGTTTCGTTCGGAAGATATCGAGGGTCGCAGGTTTTGACTTCCACCCCCCCTAGCGCCCCCCCAAAATTTTTTGGGGGTCTGAAAATTTGGGGAAAGAAGCGCTCCAGTATTAGTAACTGATAGACGAAGTTTGAATAAATTCTAGTGGGGGGGGCGAAAAATGTCGTTTTTGCATACGGCTCTTTGACATACTTAATGTCCATGCACAGCTAAGTTTAAACCCAAAATTTAAGTTGATTCAAGCTCCTGTTGGGCTTTTATTAGACACTGGAAGTTCGCAAAAGGTTTCTAAAAAATCAACCCTTCTTGTATAGTTGAAAAGCCCTGAAAAAGAGCTTTTCAGACATGTACAGCAAAATTGGGCATAACTCAAAATCTTTTCCTGGTGCCAATTTCAATTTTTACATTGCCACAACTCAAAATCGAACCTTTTGATTTCGTTGAAAATTTCGTGAGAGGTTGATGATACTGGTACTGAAAAAAAGTTGCGGGGCTCGCTTTAGCGCCCGTGAGTCGGTGAATTCCCGGAAATCCAGCTGCGAGACTGGGATTGCGAAAGCGTTGTTGCCAAATTGACCTGTCAAGAACGGATAAGCCCTTGTTGCACACGATCAAACTGGCAATATTGCTTTTGCAAGCCCTGTCTTGCAGACGGAATTCACGCACTCGCGGGCGCTAAAGTGAGCTCAGCTATGCAACTTTTTTTGCTGTATAACTTCTGAATCCAGCGAGTCTCCACTCTAAAAATTTGCACATGCTTAGGCGACAGTATCATCAACCTCTCACGAAATTTTCAACGAAATCAAAAAGTCCGATTTTGAGTTGTAGCAATTTAAAAACTAAAATTTGCACCGGAAACAAACTTCGAGCTCTGACTAATTTTGTTGTACCTGTCTGAACAGCTCTTTCTCAGGGCTTTCCATTCATGCCAGAACGGTTGATTTCGGACAAATCGTTCTGGAGTTATACATCAATGAAGTGGCAACATCCATCGTAAGAGACCAACTTTCACGAACTTTCAGTGTCCAATAAAAGCCCCACGGAAGCTTGAATCAACTTAAAATTTTGGATTTTAACTGAGCTATGCATGAATATGAAGTAAGTCAAATTTCATCAAATTTTGAGGGGGTCATTTTTTTAAGTGGCACCAGTTGGCATGGAATGACCCAAAAACCTACCTTTTACTGTAATGGACCAATACCTTTTACTGTAATGGACCAATTGGATTGCATTTTGCAAAAAGGAACCAAGAGCATTCCAATGTCGCTAAGCTTGTGCAACTTTGTTTACCTTGCAAATATAAACTGATCATCTCAAGAAGATTCATCTTCACTCTGAATAAACTACAAATTCATGACGAAAATTACCTTGAAAATTTAATTTTTTGCATGCTTTCAATAATCGTATTGCAAAGAATGTAAGTTGTACAAGCCTAGCAACATTAGAATGCTCTTGGTTCCTTTTTGCAAAATGCAATCCAATTTATCTGAAAATATGGCAGTTGCCTCATTTTGAGTTGGCGATCAAGGGAAGTAATGGGAGTAAAATGATGATGGAGCAGAAATCCCACTAATGGGTCAGTGAAGTCCTTTTTTTTATCGTGTCATTCTAAAATAATAGTTAGTTGCGAGGCTTATGGTTTTTCTCATAACTGTTTTTGATTACTTGAACGGGAAAAAAAATTCACACATAAGTGACAAAAATTAGGGTAGCTGGAAACAAGGTTTGAAATGTGCGCACATGGTTCTCAACATCTCGCATCTCAATCAATGTGACAGCAGAACCTGTCGTGGAAGAGCACACGATGGCGGTGTGTTGTCTTGTTAGTAAGCTGAGGGATGTGTTGACTTTGCCACCGCCATCTTCCTGTCTATGAAATGTAATGTTAAGATTTGGTGGGGATAACGAATGGGATGGTTCAAACATGTTTTTGAGGATCCCTCTATAGGAAGCATTATTTCATCGTGAAAACAATTTTTTGTCCGATATTTATTTGCACATCATTTCTCTCTTGCACTGAAAACAGTTGGAAAGCTATTTGCATGCAAATCTCACCCGACTTTGACTGGCCCATTGTGGTATTGACTGAATTTTTTGTCAGAAGCAAAGCTAATGTTCCAGGATAAGCTTTTTTAACCTTACTCTTTAAAATCTGAAAGCTCGGAAGGGTGTTTATGTTTCTTTTCTTTGTTATAGGTAGAAGAATACAGTAATAAAGTAGCCAATGTCTTCAAAGCCCAAGGCTTCAAAAAAGGAGATGCAGTTGCTTTGATGTTAGAAAACAGGCCAGAGTTTGTGTGCATATGGCTTGGTTTGTCCAAAATAGGTGTTGTTACAGCTCTCATCAACTACAATCTTCGTCAAAACTCCTTGTCTCACTCAGTGAAAATTTCGGATGCAAGTGCATTTATCTTTGGAGAAGAATTGTTGCAAGGTAAGAGTCAACATGGATGAAGTTTTCGCCTAATCATTCAGCGTACTCAAAACTTTCAAGAATCGAGACATGCACTTTTGCAGTGCAGGTTTTCATTGCCTGGTGTGCAATCGCAACGGCAACCGTGACACATATTCTTTCTCCTCTCATAACCTTTAAAATAAATTAATTTTTATGAGATTCCCATGGCTCCAACTGTCCGTGTCAAGCTTCAATATTCTAATTCCAAAACAAACTGTTTTCAGAATTCAATTTTAAAGACTCAAATGGTAGCATCAGGAACGAAAAGAATTGCTGCCCGTAAGGCGCACCTAAGGTTGAGTATTAATAATAAATGGCTCCCCTTAGATCGTGGGGTACCTTTTACTTAAAATTATCGCTGAAGTGTTTACTGATTTTTACCCTGAAAAAAAATTGTGCTGAAAATACTGATATAAAGCATTTATGTTTTACAGATGTGTTAGAAGTGGCAGAAACACTTAATAATGTACAACTCTTTTCTTGGAATGGTAGTAAAGAATCCAAAATTGAAAAATTTGGTGATGGATGTTTGGTCAATGACATTTACTCAATGATCCAGGATGCCTCCCCTGCCATTCCTACAGTGACAGAGAAAATTGGTTTCCATGATAAACTTTTGTACATTTATACTTCAGGAACAACAGGACTACCGAAAGCTGCTGTAATCACTAATGCAAGGTAATTTTCAAAAAATGGAATCAGTTAGTTTTTATATCATCTCGTTAAATATAAAACCATAGCAGTTCACACAGAAGGCTAAGAAATTGGGCGCCGGCTAAATTTTGAAATTTTTTACATGATGCTCCTTCCAATCTCCTGTTTAAGATGAGGTTTTAAAATCGAACATTATGTGCCAATCTCGAGAATATTGGGACTGAAGAGTACATTTTTCAGCAGTTGGTTCAACACACGTCATCAAAGAGAAAAATGAAGGTAATCTAAGAATGAGCTCCTACTTCCGCATCTCAGGCTAGCTGGGTGAATAAGACAGCATGACAACTCAGTTCAAAACCAAAGGCTTTGCACCTTTGACTTAGGGGCGGTGCTACTTCTTTGTTTGATAACACTCGTTAAAATGATGAAAAGTGCACTCTTCAGACGAGACTCTTTCGAGATTGCTACTTTAAAGATTTAACCTTATCTTACCCAGGAGACCGTAAGGAACATAATTTAAAAAATTATCGAAATTCACCCAGCGCTGAATATCTTTGTATTCCATGCTGTCCTTTAAAGAAAGCGGAAGGGATTCATTTAATATCCCATCAAGTTTTAACTTAATGTGCTTTCCTCCGCTAAAAATGACCTAATATTATTCCTGCAAATTTCACCTTCAAAATGCATAACCTATGTACATCAATTCATGAGATCTTTGATTGCACATCGACCCTACCTTCTTGTCATCAATGTTACAAGTGGATGTCCAGAGGAAATGACAAAACTTTTTCTCATGAATTAGCTGAATGCGTTCCTATAAATGCCAGTCTACGCACACGGATACAATTTGTTTACGAGGTTTGGGAGCTGTGGTGGCCACCAAATCGTCCTAAATCTTCGAACAAGCCTCAACATTTTGCTGAAGATTCCCACGTTAAAAAAGCTAAGACTAATCAATGTTGCATATCTCAAATTTAATTAGACGTGCGACTAATAATGTTATTGAATATTATGAGTTACTATGTCAAGTTGTTTTTAACAGGTATTTATTTTTGGCGGGTGCTATAGCATATCAAGTTGGATTCAGAAATAGTGACAGATTTTACACTCCACTTCCACTATACCACACCGCTGGTGGAGCCATGTGTGTAGGTCAAGCTGTTATTTATGGTGCAACTGTTGTCATACGAAAAAAATTTTCAGCCTCACAGTATTTCTTGGATGTTGTCAAATATGAGTGCACGGTAAATTTCTCTTCTTTCATTACAAAATAGGTATTCTACCTAGGTAGATTGCCTTCATTTCTCTCAGTTACAAAGCCGTCATTATTCTTTATCAAAGTCTTTTTAAACTCTGAGTAGGTGTCCGGATTTTTTTTTTTTACTTAAATGACCATAACTTTGTCAATTTCCAATTGAGTTAATCTTGGTTTCAATTCAATCAATAGAAAGGCTTCTTTGAAAACACTTGTTTTGAGCACAGCACTTTTGAAAGTTAGAGAATGCAGCTTACAAATTTTGGCCTCTAATTCCGAAAAGGTGAGTTGAATCATCATAAAAGTATAATATGTGTTACCAAAGATTCGTGAATGCTGTATAATTGATCTTCAGAACAGAGACAAATCTTACAATACGACCCTCTACAGGCAAACTCTTCGACTATAGCTTTTCAGTTGATCTTTCAAATTAAACCAAGACAATTTCCTAACTCACATAATCTTTTGGTAATTTGTTGACATAAATACATGATTTTGGAGGTTTTACAAACTCTTGGTTGGTATCAACAAGAAAAGTTACTCACAGATGGATTTTACCAGTTCTGGTTGGAGTTACTCGCTGAAATTTGGATGCTATGAGGTATTTTCATTGTAAAACCCATTTTTGACCTCACTTTCGTTAGTACTGTTGTGGAGATGAAGATAAGAAAAATGAAAATCTTTATCAGGTACAGTTAGGGGTGTTCAAACGGATTCTTGCCGGAACACTATGGACATCGTCTCTTACCGAAACTGAAACTGCCGGCAGTACTGACAGTGGCAATGATATCGTTAATAGCCAGCTTTTTGAGAGCTCGCAATCAATGCATTTTTGCCTCGTGTGTCGGTTTATCAGATTGCCTGGCGCAGCAGTGCTTAAAATAGATGTACTAATGGCAACAGCTTATTTTCGTCAGCTCCGAAAATTCTGATCGCTATCGGCAAGAGCGCTCTTATTGTAACTTTTTCTTGACGGAACTGTTTCGGTAGCTGACCGACAACTGGTAGAACTGCCCTAGGCACAGTTATAATCTTCAATGGCTGTGTGTCATAGGTAAAGTATCAAATAATTGAGAAAGATTTTGCATAGTGACACATTTTTGAAAATATTTGAAATCATGTGAAATAATTTAATAGAATTGTGGAAAACTCATTTTTCATTTATCTCAGTAACTTTAACTCCACATTTTTTCATAACGTTCAGTAATATGATAAATCATTAAATTGAGATGTCACACAGTTTGAATGAGAATTGCTTATTTCTACATTTTGATTAACATTTTAACGAGAAAAAAAATTGCATATTTATGTTCTAAAGTGAACCAAAATTGGGTAAGGAATGAATTCTATGTCATAAGTACCATTAAACATCTAAGTTTCTTAATGGAATTCTAACCGAAACCAGTAAAATCTATCTATAAGTAAATTTCCTCTTTACATTTGCAACAAAAATTAAAAAAAAAAAAAAAAAAAAATAATGTAATCATGTCATCAAATTTACAAAGGGAAGATTAAAAATAGATTCTATGATGAAAATACCAATGATTCTGAAAGTTTCTAAACAAAATGTTTAACAACTAGTGATCCAGTCAAAATAAGTTGCAGAAAAAGGTAGGAACCAGGCATTCTTATGTTTTGCTCCACTTTATGCCCAGTCTCTCCCCTTTGCCCATCCTTTTTTCCATGCGCAGTGCGGTGTGGTGTCAGGAGCTCTCTCACCCTGAAGATTTAACGATTCCAAATTTAAACGCCAGATGTACCAAATAAATTCACTTTTTTGTGCAATTTAGTATTTCTCCCTTTTTCAAAAGGTAATGCATTTTTATTACATAGAAAAAATGTGGATTTTTTTCTGCCAGGTCTATCCTCTCTCCTTACCCCCTCTTTCCCTGTCTCCTCCTCCTTGAGCGGAGCATAGTCAGTTGTTCCCTAACCCAGGAGATGTAGCAATGTTGAAATACAGGGTGTACCAAAAGTCCGTCCCACCCCTGCTAACTTTTGAACGAATTGAGCTAGGGTAATGAAACTTTGGGAATGTTCCTATCTCAAAGGGGACCATCTTTTGGGGGGG